CTTGTTCCTGATCGTAGAGGAAATGTTTTCAGTTTTTCACCATTGAGAATGATGTTTGCTGTGGGTTTGTCGTATATGGCCTTTATTACATTGAGGTAGGTTCCCTCTCCACTTTCTGGAGAGTTTTTATCATAAATGGGTGTTGAGTTTTGTTGAAAGTTTTTTCTGCATCTATTGAGATGATCATATAGTGTTCTTTAATTTGTTAATATGGTGTATCACGTTGATTAATTTGTGCATATTGAGGAATCCTTGCCTCTCTGGGATAAATCCCACTTGATCATGGTGTGTGATCCTTTTAATGTGTTGTTGGATTCTGTTTGCTAGTATTTTGTTGAGGACTTTTGTGTCCATGTTCATCAGTGATATTGGTCTGTAATTTTCTTTTTTTGTGATATCTTTGTCTGGTTTTGGTATCAGGGTGATGGTGGCCTCATAGAATGAGCATGGGAGTGTTCCTTCTGCATTTTTTTGGAAGAGTTTGAGAAGGATGGGTGTTAGCTCTTCTCTAAACGTTTGATAGAATTCACCTGTGAAGCCATCTGGTCCTGGACTTTTGTTTGTTGGAAGATATTTTATTGCAGTTTCAATTTCATTACTTATGATTGGTGTGTTTATATTTTCTATTTCTTCCTGGTTCAGTCTTATAAGTTTGTACCTTTCTAAGAATTTGTCCATTTCTTCCAGGTTGTCCATTTTATTAGCATAGAGTTGCTTGTAGTAGTCTCTTAGGATGCTTTGTATTTCTGCAGTGTCAGTTGTAATTTCTCCTTTTTCTTTTCTAACTTCATTGATTTGAGTCCTCTCCCTTTTTTTCTTGATGAGTCTAGCTAAATGTTTACCAATTTTGTTTATCTTCTCAAAGAAACAGCTTTTATTTTCATTGATTATGCTATTGTTTTCTTCATTTCTATTTCATTTATTTCTGCTCTGATCTTTATGATTTCTTTCCTCTACTAACTTTGGGTTTTGTTTGTTCTTCTTTGTCTAGTTGCTTAGGTATAAGGTTAGGTTGTTTATCTGAGATTTTTCATTTTTCTTGAGGTAGGAATGTGTTATAAACTTCCCTCGTAGAACTGCTTTTGCTGCATCGCATAGGTTTTGGGTTGTCGTGTTTTCATTGCCCTTTATTTCTATGTAGTTTTTGATTTTCTCTTCGATGTCTTCAGTGATCTTTTGATTATTTAGCAGTGTATTGTCTAGCCTCCATATGGTTGTGTTTTTTCCAGTTTTTTTTTCCTGTAATTGATTTCTAATCTCATAGTGTTGTAGCATTGTGGCTGGAAAAGATGCTCGATATTATTTAAATGTTCTTAAATTTACTGAGCCTTTAGTTGTGACCCAAGAAGTGATCTGTCCTGGAGAGTGTTGCATGTGTGCTTGAGAAGAAAGTGTATTCTGCTGCTTTGGGTGGAATGTCCTATAAATATCAATTATGTCTATCTGATCTATTGTGTCAAAGCTGTGTTTCCTTATTAGTTTTCTGTCTGGATGATCTGTCCATTGGTGTAAATGGGGTGTTAATGTTCCCCACTATTATCGTGTTACTGTCGATTTCCCCTTTTATGGCTGTTAGCATTTTCCTGTGTATTGAGGAGCTCCTATGTTGGGTGCATAAATATTTACAATTATTATAGCTTCTTTTTGGATTGATCCCTGGATCATTGTGTAGTGTCCTTCCTTGTCTATTGTACCTACAGTCTTTATTTTAAGGTCTAATTTATCTGATATGAGTATTGCTACTCCAGCTTTCTTTTGATTTCTTTTTGCATGGAATATCTTTTTCCATCCCCTCACTTTCAGTCTGTATGTGTCCCTAGGTCTGAAGTGGGTCTCTTGTAGACAGCATATATATGGATCTTGTTTTTGTATCCATTCAGCCAGCCTGTGTCTTTTGGTTGGAGCATTTAATCCATTTACATTTAAGGTAGTTATTGATATGTATGTTCCTATTCCCATTTTCTTAATTGTTTTGGGTTTGTTTTTGTAGGTCTTTTTCTTCTCTTGTGTTTCCTGCCTAGAGAAGTTCCTTTAGCATTTGCTGTAAAGCTAGTTTGGTGGTGCTGAATTCTCCTAGCTTTTGCTTAACTGTAAAGCTTTTGATTTCTCCCTCAGCCTGAATGAGATCCTTGCTGGGTAGAGTAATCTTGGTTGTAGGTGTTTCCCTTTTAGCACTTTAAATCTATCCTGCCCCTCCCTCCTGGCCTCCAGAGTTTCTGCTGATAAATCAGCTGATAACCTTATGGGGATTCCCTTGTATGTTCTTTGTGGCTTTTCCCTTGCTGCTTTTAATATTTTTTCTTTGAATTTAATTTTTGTTAGTTTGATTAACAGGTATCTTGGCATGTTTCTCCTTGGGTTCATACTGTATGGGACTCTCTGTGCTTCCTGGACTTGGGTGGCTATTTCCTTTCGCATATTAGGGAAGTTTTCGACGATAATCTCTCCAAATAGTTTCTAAGACCCTTTCTCTTTCTCTTCTTCTTCTGGGACCCCTATAATTTGAATGTTGGTGTGTTTAATGTTGTCTGCAAGGTCTCTTAGACAGTCCTCATTTCTTTTCATTCTTTTATCTTTATTCTGCTCCTTAGCAAATATTTCCACCATTCTATCGTCCAGCTCACTTATCTGTTCTTCTGCCTCAGTTATTCTGCTGTTGGTTCCTTCCTGTGTAGTTTTCATTTCAGTTATTGTGTTGTTCATCTCTGTTTGTTTGTTCTTTAGTTCTTCTAGGTCCTTGTTAAACATTTCTTGTATTTACTCGATCCGTGCCTCCATTCTATTTCCCAGATTTTGGATCATCTTTACTATCATTACTCTGAATTCTTTTTTAGGGAGCTTGCCTATTTCCTCTTCATTTATTTTGTCTTTTAGGGTTTTACCTTGCTTCTTCGTCTGTGACATATTTTTTTGTCATCTCATTTTTTTTGATGAGTATGGCTGTGTTCCTGTCTTGCTGGTTGTTTGGCCTGAGATGTCCAGCACTGGAGTTTGCGGGCAGTTGGGTGGTACCGGGTCTTGGTGCCGAGATGAGGACCTCTGGGAGAGCTCACACTGATTAATATTCCCTGGGGCCTGAAGTTCTCTGTTAGTCTAGCAGCTTGAACTTGACGCTCCCATCACAGGAGCTCAGGCCCAACCCCTGTGGCCTGGTCATACAGGGATACCTCCCATCCCTTTAGGTGTCAGTGGTCCCCCACTAGCGCCCAGTAGTTGCTCTGTGAGAATTGCTCTGATGCATACTTGTGTACTTGTGAGGAGAGGCGAACTCCACGTTCTTCTACTATGTCATCTTGACTCCGTTCCCCCTGGGTCATCCTGGAGAAGACGGATTGAAGCCAGGAGAAAGCTAGAGCATGGGAGACCTGTCAGAAGGCTTGTTCGATGAAATCGGGTAACGGATGGCGACATTCTGTACCCGGGCTTTATACCCGCAGTGGGGCAGTGGGCACCTTGGGCTGCCAAGTTGCGCTTCCACCTCTCACTGATTGTTGATTATCCTTCCTGTAAGCACCTGGACATTTCTGCAAAATCGGCTCCTCAGACCAGCCAGATAGCTTCCATCAGCCCTTTCAAAGCTGGGGGAGGAACAGGTGGTGCAGGCTCTGGGTTCAGCTTGGCTAGTCTATCCCAAAAGAAATAGCATGTGTTTTGGGGAACACGAAGGGATGCTTTTCTCTTTCGTAGTTATGACACTATGGTTATAAGGGACTTCATATGTCTTCTACAGTAGCAAAGAGAGGAACACACTGTTTTCTTTCATTTCCAATATGCTAATTGGTACAAACTGCTCTCAAAGGTATCTGCATGCCAAATCCAGAGATTCTATCTGCATATTCCACTGAAGATTAAGTAGCCTGTTACAGATCTTTATTTCTTTGATGGTTGTTGAGCTGCACCCCACTGGCCTACAAGGCCTCTACTTGCCCAGCTTCAAGACTGAAGATAGAGCTCGGAGTTAGTGACAGAGACATTAGTGTTTAATGGATGGGGGAGCATACATGTCTGAATCAAGGTCCTGGAGCAACACTCCACGGTTTGTGGTGGACAGTGGACAGGACGTGGTGGCCGACTTTGCTGGGGTGATGGAGGGAATCTTTTCAGTTTCTTTTAAACATCATCCTGACAAACACTTAACACAGTGCCTTGCCTATTCTAGCTTCTTCATAAATAAATATTGGTTAGTTGAATGAATAAAGGAATAAATGAATGAAGAGTAAAGAGTTGAATGACAACATTCTAGACCTTCACAATATGAATAAATATAGATGTCAACTTCTCTTATCAAGATTTGAATACAGAGTAATCTTTTAATAATTTAGATAATGTAGATGAAATGATTTGATTTAAGAATTTGAACAGTGGAATTTTCATAAGTTGGATTACTGTGTCTAAAATGCAAATGGTAAGTAATAAAATGAAGTAAGATAACTTGAAATTGAAATGAGCTTATGTTATGAGATACATACTCTTTAATTTAGGAATAGTTGATTGGTAGGCTCAGGAGATGATTTTTTAAAGACTTTATTCTCTTTCTAACTTGATTTATTTTAGAATTTTGCCAAGTAGAAGTTGTTTTGAACTTTCTCCTTAAAATGAATCAGTGTTCACTTCTGAATTATCATAGATTTTAATTTAGCAAAATTCAATCAATGGATTATAGTATATATCATTTATTGGGTTTAATGCTATATATCTAGAAAATAGGTTCCCCTACATTTGGATCTATGTGGTTGATGTAATCTGTTGGTTTCCGTGTTTGAATATTTGAGTATGGTTTATGGTAAAGAGTGTGGGCTGTGGTGTCAGATTTGAGTTTCAATCCCCGATCTGCTGCTACTTAGTGAACAAATTATTCAACTTGTTGAACCTTAGAAGCATCTTGTATAAAATGGAGGTGATACCTACCATAAGAGGTTCTTAGTCCAGTGTCTGGGATATAGTAGGCATTCAGTAATTGGGAACAACTATTGTTTTCCTCACTCTCTTTTGTTCTGCAGCTTTCCCCATAAATAACCCAGATAAAGATGCAAGACATGTAATAAAAGTGGTAAGTATTGCTCTTAAATTTGTGTTTCACATATATTTGACATTTTTATTTTCTGCTTTATTCATTTCTTTTTTGTAAAAGTGTTTCTCACCTTAGTTTTCATAATTTTAATTAACAATACATCTAATACTATGATATATTTTCACATTATTAAAATGTAAAGACTGGAGAATTTTGTTCTTCTGCATTGACATTTATCATCCTTGTATCTTATCTAGCTCTCTATCTTCTGCCTTTCTTTTCCTCTCTGCTCTAGATGATAAAGTCCTTAAAGGCAGAAATGAGGTTTTATTTTTGTTTGTATCCCCTGTGGCTAGTACTATGAACAAAATATTGTAGACACTCAGTAAAGATTCACGTATGAATGAACCACGAGGGTGGTTTGCAGTGTATCCACCCTGTTATACATGATAGTACACATTGAGTGTCTGTGTACGTGTACAGTTCTCAGTGTTTTTAGTAAGTTCTTTCCATAAGAAGACTACTTTCTCATGTCTAAGACTGTGTAGAGGTAGCATTACAAAATGTTAAAAATGAGGTTCTTAGTATATTTAGTGCTTTTCTGAGATTTTTGTGATTCAAGTACTGTTATATATTACATACGTATACTCATTTTCACAGTTGAAATACCAATTCCATCTTTAAAATTTTTTCTAATAAAATTAACTGTTCTTTTGTTTTATAGGAATATCAAGAAAATGGCCCATTATTTTCAGAACTTAAATTTTATCAAAGAGCGGCCAAAAAAGACTGTAGTAAGTAAAATTAGCAAAGTAAGCTACTTCCATATATATGTTTGCTAAAGTGCCTGTTAATATTTTTGTCTTTTTCTGGCCTTATGGAAAATTCTTTTCAATTAGGAATTTTTATTGTAAAATGATTACAATGATTAACTGTTATATAAAAAATTACAATGATTAACTGTTATATAAAAACAAGACAGGTGGTATACAAATCTTGATATTATATACATCATTGGTTATATATTTCAAGTCAAAGTTATTTCTTTTACTTTACATAAAATGCTGGATTGTTGATCTAAGCTACCAAGAGTTCTCTAGGTATAAAAGATAGTAAAATGAAATTGTTTCTTTCACAAAAAACCATTTCGATAAAACGGATATAAGGAAAAGACAATAAAATGGGCAGTAGATTATAAAGAAAAGGAATGACCATAGAATAGATTTGGGCATAGTGTATGGAAATGATTAAACATTAAGATGATTTAGAAAATAAGTTAAAAATGTTAAATATTTGTATGTTGAGTAATTAATTGGAGCTGGATATCAGATGTAAGAACTACCAGTTAGAGGATTGGAATATGAAATAAATATGAGCAGAGCTAAGAAGAAAAAAAGCATGTTATAAATACTGTATGATATAGATGGACTAGTAAAGCTTAAAGGAAATTGATATGAGTATAATTAAGGTCCTTTACATTACGTTTAGGAAAGAGAATGATGAGTCTAACCTCAATAATTAACTTCGTTTTCTTTAACGAAACCTTCTGAGCATTAAGACTATAGTCGGTACTAACTGCTTAAACTATGTCGGAGTGACAAACAGAATCCATTAAACTTCATTGCTTATCAGTAGAGCTGTCTTAAACATTAAGCATATATGGTAGAAAAATGAAAAATTAAATAAGCTGCCTGATTATTTAAGTGGATTTGATTTTTTTAAACAAAATTTAATCAAAACAGTTTCAGTACAGCAGTTTCAGAGTAAGATGATTTTTCTGCCTAACTTTTATTTATTTATTTTGACTACTGTGGCTTTAGACTTTTAGTAATATGGAAGAAAAAGCTATCTTTCTACTGATCCTTTGGTGGTTAACATATTTTATATTTAAAAATGTAACAAACATATAAGGGAATTAAATTTTTTAATGAATAGAAACATTTGTGTAAATGATATCAATGCATTTTATGACTATGCTATTTTTGTTTTTTATTGCATATTTTATTTCTTATATTAAACAAAATTATTTTTGGAGTATAGTGGATTTACAATGTTGTGTTAGTTTCTGCTATACAGCAAAGTGAATCATATATACATATATATATTATATATATATCCACTCTTTATTTTAGATTCTTTTCCCATATAGGTCATTACAGAGTATTGAGTAGAGTGACTGTGACTCTTTTTGTTTTGATTATAACTGATTTAAAATTTTAAAATGTTAGAAATCTGTGTATGTTTTTATGTTGATTATAGTGATAAATAGAATTTGCAACTATTAGCTAGATATATTTGATTTTTAAAAAATGTTTTTAGGAAGGTCTAATTTCTATTTAAGTTAGCTAAATAAGTTTAAGCATCTATGCAAAAGTAAGAAATACCTTTCTAAAAAAGTATACCTTTTTTCCTGTGAAATTTGTCTTTGCAGTCAAAAAATGGATAGAACTCAAACAGCTTGATTATTTAGGAATTCCTCAGTTTTATGGATCTGGTATTACTGAATTCAAGGGAAAAAGGTAAAATGGAATTATTATAATCAAATATTGTCCTGTAACTATTTCTCATGTGATCTGTTATTTGTTGCTATATAACTAATGACCTAAAATGTGGTGGCTTATAATGATAAACTAATATTATCTTAGTTTCTGTGGGTCAGTTATCTATGTATAAATGGCTTCCCTAGATGGTTCTTGCTCAGGACTTCTCATGAGGATATAGTCAGATGTCTTTTGGGCTGTAGTCTTCTCAAGGCTCGACTGGGGAAGGATCTGCTTTCAAAATCACTCATGTGGCTATTGGCAGGCCTAAGAGGATCAGCTTTTAAATTCTCTCACGTGATTGTTGGCAGGCCTCACTTCCTCACCATGTAGGTCTCTCCAGAGGGTGCTGAGTATCACCCTCAGCTGCATGGCAGCTGGCTTGCAGTAATTGAAAGAGAGAGAGAAGGAGAAAGAGCACACACAAAAGCATGCATCCAAAACACAAGTCACAGTCCTTTTATAACCTAATTTTAGACGTGATAGCCCATCATTTCTATTGTATTCTCTTTGCTAGAAGCAAGTCATTAAGTCTACCCCGTATTCAAGAGAGGAGATCTAATTAAGCTCCATCTCTTGAGGAGAGGCACAACCAAAAATTTGCAGAAATGTTTTTAAACTCACCAAACATGGCTAGTCATCACATATAAATAATTAATAGTAGTGATTAAAAAAAAAAAATTCATTTGTTAGGTACCCATTTTGTTCTTTCAGTAGCCTTTTAAGATAGGTGATAATATTTCTTTTCCTAGGTGAGAAGATAGGCTCAGAGGTCACTGCTTTGCCTAAATGGTCTTTAAATGCTATACATTTTTTAAAAAATGAAGAAACAGTAATCTTGAAACAAAGTAAAGGGCTACCTATAGGGGAGTGAATGGATGAGTAAACCATGGTACATCTATATCATGTAATACTATGCAGCCCATTAAAGGAATCAGTTAAAGCTCTACCAGTTGATTTGGAAGGATTTCAGTGAGATATTATTGAAAAAAAGTATGATGCAGAAAAGTTCATATAATTAGATTGCATTTTTGTCAAAAAAATACAAAAATTCCTATATTTTTTTTTTTGTGTGTATACATAGATAGATTTAGAATAAGAGCAGATATGAAGGGAAGAAAAGGGGCGGGGAGAGGTCCCAAACAGAAAAGAAAAAGAAGACTTACATTTAGGAAAACACATGTTTATAAATGTATAGGGAAAGTAAATATGATTTTATAAGGTCAAGAAACAAATATAAATAAAATCTTCTGTATGGAAAAATAATTGCTCAAGGCCATATGGCAAGAAGGTGATGGAGTCAAAATGAATTAAGTTCAAGCTCTTTTCATGTTCTAAGACAGTGTGAGTGGTTCAGCATAGAGTGCTCTTCTACTCAAAAACTAACTGCAAGGTAAATACTTAGCATGTTTCTGCAAAAGAACAGCAATATAACATGCATTCATTCTCTAATGGTTCAGATTGCATCATTCTTCATTGTTAAGTTGGGGGTATTTTTCCATTGTTTCAAATTCATAAATAGACAGTTTCAGCATTGCTATTTTAACCTGTCCTTTTGACTTCTCCTTCTTATAGTTACAGATTTATGGTAATGGAAAGACTGGGAATAGATTTGCAGAAGATCTCAGACCAGAATGGTACTTTTAAAAAGTCAACTGTCCTGCAGCTAGGTATCCGAATGGTAAGAAAGAATGACTTATTTCCCATGCTCCATTTTCAGGTTATTTACTTGTTACAACATACAAATTGTTGCCCTTGGTGGAATTATCAGAGAATGAAGGATTATTGCCCTAGAAATGTCAGTTATTGAGCATAGATACTATTTTGGTGAAATTGATAACAGTGGGCTCTGTAAGTGACAGAATGTGCTGTGTTTGGCACTACAAACTCAATTAGGCTTTGGTTCTACAGTCTGATTTTTTTTTCTCTCACAGCTTTGTTTTACATATCAGAACAAGCTTGCATTGCTATAAGAATAACCTCTCTTTTGTCAGTTATATTTATAACAATGCAAAGTATGGCAAAATATATTATTTTCCATACTACACATGTGGTGGTAAGGGGGTGCTATAAAGTTTTTATTATGAGTTTGGGATGGTGGCAGTAATTAGTGTGGCAATGAATAATATATACTTTGCCAAATAAGAAGCAATGAAATCTTAATAGCACCCATGCACACATTTTGTTTATACCACGTATTCGTCTTATCTTGTTTGTGTTTGGTTTGCCTAAGCTCCATTTTATTTTTTTCACTTTAGATAGAATGCGACTACTCATGCCAGGTTGAGATGTGGCAAACAGAACTCATTAATTTTCCCATCCATCCTCTAGCCAGCCAACAAATGTTTATTGAGCACTAGGCGTAGGTAGCATGCAAGTCTCAAGGGTTTCAGAGATGAGCATAGGTGTTTTCTGTTACTCTACAGAGGGAGAATGCCTTTCTCTGTGATCATGGACGTGGGATTTTGTTCTGGGAGCCCCAAAAACTTACTTATAATTATTGCTTGGGTGAGGGATTGTTGAGTGGGCGTCATGATTATTTCACTTTAGGTCTCTGATTTTATCATAATTTTCCTCTTTGCACAGTGTGATTTGGGCACCGTGCTGTCAGGAGCATAGGCATTGTTGAGTCTTGGCTTCCTCTCCATCAGAGGTGCATTTAAAACACTTGATATTTGAGGATCCTTTTATTCACCTTTTTCCCAGGATGAGCGACCAGCACATGTGATAATTTTAGAATAGACAAATGCATAATTGTGAAATACACCATTTTGTCATTGTTAATGTGAAAAAAAATACGTGTTATTCTCTCTTCACAATGTCCAGGTCGATCTGGAGTTCTAAATAGACATCAGTATAACCTTATATATTTCTTTTCACAGTTGGATGTACTGGAATATATACATGAAAATGAATATGTTCATGCTGATATAAAAGCAGCGAATCTACTTTTGGGTTACAGAAATCCACATCAGGTAAATACAGTATTAAGCTTTTGCCTTCAGTAAGGATCTTCAAAGTACCATACTGAGACATTCAAAAAACAAACTCCTGACAGGCAAAAGTTTGCAAATGCGAACTTAACATGATGAGTGTTGTAATTTATCCTATCTTGCTTATCTAATTTAATGCACTAAACTGATAAGTGACTAGGATGAGGAAGCTGAGACTGGGGGTCTCAGTGGGGGGTAAATAATTTATTAATGGACATATAGTGGCTGAGCAGGGATTTGAACTTCTGAGCAAATATAAACAAAACCATCAACATGCAATGAGAGAAGGGGTGGATTTATGCAGAGAAAAAAAAAAAAGGCTGTCACCTTAGTTCTTCCACTGTATAAACAATTAAGTTTTAAACAGAGCAGCATTGCTGATACAACTTTTTGTGATGATGGAAATATCTTGTATGTTACTGTCCAGTATGGGAGCCATGAGCCACATGTAGCTTTTAAGCACTGGCAGTGTGGGTAGTACAATACCAAATGCTGGTGAAGATGTGGAGCAACAGGAACTCTCTTTCATTGCTGGTGCTGTGGCCACTGTGGAAGACAGTTTGGCACTTTCTTACAAAATTGAACATACTCTGACATATCTGGCAGTTAAATTCCTTGGTATTTACCCAAAGGAGTTGAAAACTTATATCCACAGAAGTACCTACACACAGATGTTTATAGCAGCTTTATTCATAGTTGCTAAAACTTGAATAAAGATGTCCTTTAATAGTTAAATAAACTGTGGTTCATCTGGACAATGCAATAGTACTTTACATTAAAAAGAAATGAGCGGAGCTTCCCTGGTGGTGCAGTGGTTGAGAGTCCACCTGCAGATGCAGGGGACACGGGTTCGTGCCCTGGTCCGGGAAGATCCCATGTGCTGCGGTGGAGCGGCTGGGCCCATGAGCCATGGCCGCTGAGCCTGCGCGTCCGGAGCCTGTGCTCCGCAGCAGGAGAGGCCACAACAGTGAGAGGCCCGTGTACCACACACACACACAAAAAAGGCCATAGAATATTTAGCACCACAAGTGGACCCTAACGTAAACTGTAGACTTCTGGTGATAATGACGTATTGGTGTAGGTTCATCTGTTGTAACAGATGTAATACCGTGGTGTGGGATGTTGATAGTGTGCGAGGCTATAATTGGGAGGAGGGGAGAGTGGTGTATGAGAACTTACTGTACCTTCCACTCAGTTTTACCTAAATTGCTCTATATTTAGTAAAATTGAATTTGAAACTACTCTAAAAAATAGTCTTAAATAATGAGACTAGTGTGACCAAAGAACTGAATTTTAAATTTAACTTAATTCTAATTAACAATTTTTTTCATCTTGCTTTCTTCCCCAGCTTTATTGAGGTTTAGTTGACAAAAATTGCATAACGTTTAGGTTGTACAACATGATTTATTTAAGGTATACAAAGTGATGATTTATTATACTATATATTGTGAAGTGATTAAGCAAGTTAACACACTGATCACATAGTTACCTTCTGTTTTGTGGTGAGAACACTTAAGACCTACTCTTAGCAAATTTGAAGTTTACAGCATTATTAACTATAGTCACCATGTTGGGCATTAGATCCCCAGAACTTACTCATCTTCTAACTAAAAGTTTGTACCCTTTGACCAGCATCTCCCCATTTCTTCCACACCCCAGCCCCTGGTACCACTGTTCTATACTCTGATGTATAAGTTTCACTTTTGTATATGCCACATATAACTGAGATCGTACAGTATTTGTCTTTCAGTGTGTCTTGGTTTATTTCACTCAGAATAATATCCTCTAGCATAATGTCCTCTAGGTTCACCCATGTTGTTGCAAGTGGCATTTTTCTTTCTTTTTTATGACTGAATAATACTCCATGGCTTATATATACCACATTTTCTTTGTCCATTTATCCATCAGCAGACACTAAGGTCATTTATGTATCTTGGCTGTTTTTAATAATGCTGCAGTAACATGGGAATACAGATATTTCTTCAAGATAATGATTTCTTTTCCTTTAGATATATACCCAGAAGTGGATTGCTGGATCATATGGTAGTTCAATTTTTAATGTTGGGTTTTGTTTTGAGGAACCTCCATAGAGTTTTCCATAATGACTGTACCAATTTACATTCCCACCAACAGCGTACAAGGGCTCCCTTTTCTCCCATACCCTCAACAACACTTGTTATCTCTGATAGCCATTCTAACAGGTGTGAGGTGTTGTCTCATTGTGGTTTTAATTTTTCATTTCCCTGATGATTAATAATGTTGAGCACTTTTTCATATACTAGTTGGCCATTTGTATGTCTTCTTTGGAAAAGTGTCTCTTTAGGTTCTTTGCCCATTTTTGAATTGGGTTATTTTGTCTTGCGAGTGAGTTATATGAGTTCTTATATATTTTAGATATTAACCCCTTATCAGATATGTAGTCTGCAAGTATTTTCTCCCATCCCATAGGTTGCCTTTTCATTCTGTTGATGGTTTCCTTGGTTGTGCAGAATCATTTTAGTTTGATGTAGTCCTACTTGTTTATTTTTGTTTTTGTTACCTGTGCTTTTGGTTTCATTTGCAAAAAGTCATTGCCAAGGCTGGTTCTCAAGGATTAGAAGAATTAACATTATTAAAATGTCTGTGCTACCCAAAGCAATCTACAGATTCAGTGGAATTCCTACCAAAATTCCAATGGCATTTTTCACAGAAATAAAAACCCAATCCTAAAATGTGTATGGAACCACAAAAGACCCTGAATAGCCAAAGCAGTCTTGAGAAAGAACAAAGCTGGAGGCATTACACATCCTGAATCAAACTATATTACATTGCTATAGTAATCAAAGCAGTATGCTATTGGCATAAAAACAGACATAGCCCAGTGGAACAGAATAGAGAGCCATGCATATACGATCAACTAATTTTTGAGAGGGGTGCCAAGAATATTCGATGGGGCAAAGATAGTTCATCAATAATTGGTGGTGGGAAAATGGGATATACGCATGCAAAAGAATGAAATTGGACTCTTATACCATACACAAAAATAAACTCAAAATGGATTAAAGACTTAAATGTAAGACCTGAATCCATACAACTAGAAGAAACCTAGGAAAAAAGCTTAATTTTGGGCTACCCTGGTGGCGCAGTGGTTGAGAATCTGCCTGCCAATGCAGGGGACACGGGTTCGAGTCCTGGTCTGGGAGGATCCCACATGCCGTGGAGCAACTAGGCCCGTGAGCCACAACTACTGAGCCTGCGCATCTGGAGCCTGTGCTCTGCAACCAGAGAGGCCGCGATAGAGGCCCATCCACCGCGATGAGGAGTGGCCCCCACTTGCCACAACTAGAGAAAGCCCTCGCATAGAAACGAAGACCCAACACAGGAAAAATAAATAAATCAATTAATAAACTCCTACCCCCAATATCTTCTTTAAAAAAAAAAAACTTAATTGGTTTACATTTACAAAACCACATGTGGCTAGTAGCCACTGTATCAACAGCGATTTAAAGAGTTAAAAAATTGAGTCTATAAATAATTAGAAAACATTTAGCTGAATATTTAACTGAACTGTACATGAGGAAAGAAATTTCTAAATAAAAATACCCCCAAAATCGTAGAAAATAGTGTGAAATTTCAAATTTTAACATCTGTATATTTAAAAAATTGAAAAATGAAAGGCAAGTGAAAATCTGGGAAGTATATTTATGACAAATATTTTAGGATATATAGCAAGCTGTAAGAAAATTAATAAGAAAAACACCAAGCAATTTCTTAAAACAATGATTTAAAAGAATGAGCAGAAAAGAAATACGACTACTTGAGAAATAAATGAAAAAAAGTTCACCATCACTAAAAACTGAGATATGCAGATCAAAACAGTGAGGCAACATTTTAAAAGAACTTATCAAAAAGGAAAAGTCTAAAATAATAATCTGATGATATTGAGGCTGATGAGGGTGCAGACACTTGTAGAATGCCAGTGGGAATGTAAATTAAATGGGAGTAGTAGAAGAAATTAAGTTAATGGAAGGGCAATTTGGAAATATATATTAAAAGCCTTTAAAAGTCTGCATACTTTTTTAAGGTTAGGTTTATTGAAGTATAATTTACAAACAGTAAAATTCATCCTTTTAAATGTATAGTTTGATGTGTTTTGACACATGTATATCGTATAACCACTACTATAATCAAGACAGAGCATTTCTATCATCCTCAGAAATTCTGTCAGTCAGTCCCCTTTTCTCACCCTGAGGAAGTGATTTCTGCCCCTATTTTTTTTTTTTTTTTTTTTTGCATTTTTAGGGATGTCATATAAATGGAATTATAGGTTTTTACTCTTTGTGTCTGGCTTCCTTTACTTAGCATAGTATTTCTGAGATTTATCCATGGTGTAGTTCATTAGTAGTTCATTCCTCTTTAATGATAGGTAGTAGTCCATTGGAAACTACTGCAGTTTCTTTATCTGTTTACCTCTGGATAGATATTTGTGTTGTTTCCAGTTTTTGACCATTATGAATGAAGATGTATAAACATTCACGTAGAGGTTTTTGTATAGGTATATATTTTAACTTCTTCCGGGTAAATAACTAGGAGTAGAATTTCCAGATTGTGTGTAAGTGTGTGTTTAACTTTAAAAGAAACAGCCACACTGTTTTCCAGAGTGATTGTACCATTATACCTTCCCACCAGCAACGTGGATAATTCCAGTTGCTCCATATCTTGCCACCACTTGGTTTCATTAGTTTTAAACATTTAAGCCATTATAGTAGATGTGTGGTTATATCTAGTAGTAGGGTTTTTTTTCTTTTTTAAATATTTATTCATTTGGTTGCACCGGGTCTTACTTGCGGCACACGGGCTCCTTAGTTGTGGCATGCAAACTCTTAGTTGCGGCATGCATGTGGGATCCAGTTCCCGGACCAGGGATCAAGCCCAGGCCCCCTGTGTTGGGAGCACAGAGTCCTATCCACTGCGCCACCAGGGAAGTCCCTAGTAGTAGGTTT